TACATATAAAATTAGGTGAGTCAACTCATTTGATTTATAAGTAACAGCATTCATTTGGACATGTCCTATGACTGATATATAAATTACTGAATTATAGTAAAAGCATTAAATAACTAAGTTTTATTATATGAATTATTATAAAAAGAGCTAATGCAAGTAGAATATATATATTTTATCAATATTGCTAATTAAAAATTTATATATAATATCATTATTTTCGAAAAATAAATGCTCTTAAAGTGTTTTAAGGAAACATTACACCAGTGTAATTTATATTCCTTTTAAGAAATAGTATACATTCAAATAAATCAGAATTTAAACAAGCTTGCTTGGCAGTCATAATATTTCCTATGTCACTAAAGAGTTGTTCACTGGCTGTAGATGTAGCTAGAATATATAAATATTTTTGAGCTATTTTGCTCAATATAGGAAAATTTAATTGCTGCCCACTTCACTATTTTAAAGGACAGAGTACTTGAAATTTTTGGCAATACAAGATAAGTTTGAATTTCATTATTAATGTCAGATTCTTGAATAGATTCATACATAGCAGCTAACAAGACATTTTCTTTCTCTTCAAGATATCCATTTGTATCAAATAATGAATATACGTATTGCAGATAGTCAGATACATATTTAACTATCCAATATTTTGATTAATAACAATGATATATTATGATATAATTAAATAACATTAAACTATTGATGCTTCGATTAATAAAATAATGATGCATTATAATGACATCAATATAAGCTTTTTATTTTGATTATACGATTATACAATAATTTTTTCTTATTTATATTTACCTTAATAATAATTTTTTTTATATTCATTCATAATAATGGATAGCGAAGATTCTTTACAATTTAATGAAACCTCAAGTGAAACTTTTATGAGTTGCTTAAATGATGATATTGTTACTATACATTCAATAGATAATAATTAATCAAAAAAACAAGAAGGTTCCAGGAAAGAAGCTGAATATGAGGACTTACCTACTAAACATGGATCTAATGGCCAGTGCGATGTGTTAAAAAATGATGGTACAAAATGTAACCATATTATTGAAACTGATGGTGGTACAGAAAATTTTAGTTATCATCTTCATATTACACATGGAGTTACAAAATTTGGAAAACTAATATTAGATAACTTCCAAGCATCAATTGATGATATGCTTCATCAATGATTTAAGGATAATGTTGAATATAAAAAGCAAGTTGACAGCATAGTGGCTGAATTTCTTATATTTGATTCACAACTATTTTCTGTTTTAGAAAATCCAGTATTTAAAAAACTTTTAAAAAAACTTAATTCATATTATGAAATACCTTGTAACAAAGGTATTAAAGCTCAAATTTGTATGTCTTATAATTAGATATTGGCCACTCTTCAAGATATATTGAAGAATTTAATGAATTATTGTGGGTTAACAATAGACTTATAGACTTCTTGCAGTAATAGTGGATATCTCAGAATTACATATTCATAGATAAATTCTTGTTTTGAATTGCAAGAAATCACTTTGGCTATTCATAAAATAAAACACCCACATACAGGATATGCAATTACTTCTATATTGAAATCTATTATTCAAGATTAGAACTTAAATACGAAATATTTTATGATAACAACTGATAATGCCAAAAATATGAAAAAGGCTGTTATGGAAATTGAAGAAGTTAATCGTCTTTTATGTTGTGCATACACTTTACAATTAGTCGTAGGAAAAGGGCTATTACCAGTTAAAGTTTTAGTTGCATGAGCAAAATGGTTAATACAATTTTTTACATCTTCTAAACAAAGTGAACAGCTTGAAATAGTACAAATTTCTTTAAACTGTGAAGTGTGCAATAATATTAACAATAATTATGAATATCTTAAAGTTATAATGGATGTTGCAACAAGGTGGGACTCTATGTATATAGCATAAATGAGAATTTTAAAATTAAACTAGCAATCGAAGTAATGCAATTAACAATGAGTCACAGCAAAGACTCTATATTTAAAAAAGATATAAGACGTTTTAAACGAATTATGCTAACACCTGAGGAATAGCAATTAATGAAAGATTTAGTTAAAATTTTACAACCTTTCGCTAATGCTATGAAGATGCTTGGTGGAAACAAATATACTACAATGTCATATATGTTTTCTGCTATATTATCTTTTAAAAAATTGCTTAATATTATATATGATACTCAAATTAATATAAATCTTGATGATTCTAATACGGTTTTTGATAATGATCAAGAGTTTCAAGAAGAAATTGATCTCATAGATGAACCTAAAGTATTTAATACTGAATTCGAAACAAAAATCAATCAAACTAAAATTAATATTCCACAAATCTGTAATGGTATGGTTGAAAATGTAAAAATCGCATTATTTAATGCTTTAAATTACTATTGGGAATATCCAATTCGTGAAGCTCTTCTTGCAACACTCCTTGATCCTAGAAATAAAAAAATGGAATTTGCGACTTATTCCCAAAGACTTGAGGCCGAAGCATATTTAGTGGCTGAGTATGAAGTATTTAAAGAGCAAGAATCAATACTGACAAATACAGTACAAATGAATAACCTTGAAAAGGAAGAAAATGTCTTGTTAGCTGTTATGTATGAACCTTTTCAAGAATCTGACATTAATAATGAAATTCAAACTTATCTTGCATTGCCAAAAATTCCAAGTACTCTTTGTCCTTTA